ACAATATTTGAGAGGAAATAGGTCTTTTGTGTACATAGAGAAAGTCTTAGATCTTTGAGTTCAGCTCATGATGAATGGGGGCAAAAACAAAAGTGTTGCGTTTATAATTTTGTTCAGTGTATACACAAGAGTCAAGCCATGTAAAAAGAATTGGTTCTAATCTAACAGATAACAAATTGACGTTTCTTCCCCCACCCTGATACAGTGGAGCTGAGTGGAATTTAAATGTGGTGCCTTCCAGACTTTTCCTGTAAAGAGAAAAGTTATTTTAATAATAAGGTAAAAAAGACAAGCTAGAGTCATTTACAATGACTTTTTGTGCATTTATGTACACCTGTATAAAAAGTAAATACTATTTCAGTGCTTTCAATATAATATGTACCAAGTTCTAGTTACTATATTCTGTCACTGTACCGCATCCACTTTTTGTCCAGTGTGTAACATTTAGGAGGATCTATTGACAGAAATTAAAAAATATTTGTATAGTCTGTTTACTCTTTCACCTTCCTGTTTTAACCTCCTATTTTCATTAAAAGGTACAAGGTACAAACACTATGATACTTGCATCAGACAGTTTTCAGCTTGCCCTATCTTTACTGTATCAGTCCCTATCAAATAAACTATATATAAATCACCTGAAAATAAGAATTGTGTTTTTGTTACCTTATTTTTATCTACAAAGTCCACCATGTTGAAGATTCTGACCATAAATGGATCAGTGCATTATACTGAATGAGTGATTTTAGAAGATTGTATTATATGTTTTGATACATTTTCCCTTTGAAACCTTGTCATTATTAGATTAAATTGTAACTGAATGAATCCAAGCTGACCACAGCAGTTGTTCTCTATAAAATAAAACTTTTTACAGCCACCTTTGAAGCCTCTAGAGTATTTGATACTCAGTAGACAGATTTTGGGCATTTCTTCCTAAAATAGGATCATGCTGGCAGTTAATATAAGATAACATGGATTCAGACCTCAAGCTGCCTGAACTTCTGGACCACCCCTGGGTTGCACATCTTATGTGGTGGTTTTTTGAATAATAAAAAGGTCCAGGGGGACTATGTCATAAAAATCAGCATGACTGTTCCTGGAAGTAGTCGACTGGATATTATTACAGGTGAGCATGAGGAAATGATCAACTCTTTGTGTAACCCTCTGACTGGAGGAGGAAGCAGTGGTAGGGTACATGTAGTTGTTACATTCAGGAGAATATAACTGTATTAGGGATTAACATCATGCATGTTATGGAGAAAGAATAGAGACTACATGATGCATCAATCACTTGTTGTGTGTGTTAGTTAGTCAAACTGTGCATGTAAGTTGCAGGTGGTTAAAGTGTTGTGTGTGAGATGAGTCGCTGGTAGGAAACAGATGACACACCACAGCAGCTGAGGCTGAATGAAACCCACACACATGCAGTTAAATGTTGTGTTCCAGTTCCTCAAGTGGTACAGATGACCAAATACTGTCTTCCATGGTAATAAAAAGTAGATAATACAGTGCAATGGTGCCCCCTGTTGACACGTTTCCTACCTGGTTGATCTCATCCTGCGTGGCCTTCAGAGACTTGATAATGGTCTCCAGTTGGATCTTGCCAGCAGCCAGGCTCTGCTCCAGCTGGTTCTCCTCCTGCTGCAGCCGGCCGAGGTCGGCCTTTGCCCGGCTCAGCTCTTCCTCTTGGCTCTGCAAGTCTGACTCCTGGGAGTGGATCTGACTCTGGAGGGTTGAGATCTGGAGGCAGGAGAGAATGGAAATTAACACCTGTATGTGTTCTGCACGAGCTAGCACCACATCGGTGTGTGAATGTGTATGAATGAGTTAGTTTCTGTTCGGTTGACACTTTGACATTAGCACAGTTGCCTCTTGGTGATTTGGCATTAAGCCAGTACAATAAGACGTCATACATTAATTGAATGGCTTTTTTTTGGGGCGGCTCAGAAGCAGAGCGGGTCGTCCCCCAAATCAGAAGGTTGTTGGTTCGATCCCGGCTCCTCCTGCCACGTGTCAAAGTATCCTTGAGCAAGATACTGAACCCCAAAATTGCTCCCGATGCATAGCATCGGTGTGTGAATGTGTATGAATGAGTTAGTTTCTGTTCCGATGGACTTTGCATCACTGAGTGAATGTGTGTGAAAGGGTGAAATGTGGCACGTAGTGTACAAGCGCTTTGAGTGTCGGAAAGACTAGAAAGCGCTATACAAGTACAGGTCCATTTACCATTTTCATTATTTCTGTGGCTGCTGTGGCAAAAGCTAATACAGTTCTTCCTCTCTTCCTCACCATCTGAGACTCTTCCTGGCACTTTATCCGAACTTCGTTCAGCATGTCCTCTAATTTATGTTTCTGCTGGTCCATCTCCTCCAGGCGGTCTTGGGCGTCTTGTTTCTGAGCCTCCAGCTCCTGCAGGCTGGCTGTCTCTCTGTCCAGGTCATTCTGCATGTCCTATCATGTGCCAAAGTTAGGTGTCCACCACATAAACAAAGTGGTCAGAGAGAGACACATTGCGTATGTTTGTATAATGCAGGGCAAGGACAGACCATTACGGTTTCAATAATCTTTGTGATGTGTGTGTTCATACTACAGCTGATTGACCAGTTAACATGTTGTCCTCACCTGCACCTCGGCACTCTTGTGTCTGATGGCCTCCTCTGTCTCCCTGATGTCCTGTTCTAGAGTGTACTTCTCCCTGACACACACAAAAAACATATGAACACAAGGGTGCACACAAACACACACATGCATAATTATGATAACAGAAAAAGAATAAAACTTCCAACTTCCTGCTGTGTAAACACATCAACATGTTAGAGCAACAAGACACTGGACTGGAATTCTATCAAATCCACAATGTCACAGATAAGAAATAAAAAATAAATAAATTGCCACACCCTCCAAACTCACTGACAGAAAAAGAGAATTTGCTGTTGAGATTTCTAAGAACATGTTACTTTCCTCAGTTTTTATTTTAGAACACAGATCGATGAGGAAAAAAACTTCACCCTAGTCTAGACCCCTCCACACTTGGCTGAACCCACTATCATTCCAGTATAGGGGGAAAGAACTGCTATGGCTTCTTTGTACTTCTTTAAACCAATCACAATTGCTTTGGGAGGTATTTAGCCTCGTATGCAGCTACAGTACCCTTGCAGCACAGTGGGGGGCAGCATGGTGGCTCAGTGATTAGCATTGTCACCTCACAGCAAGAAGGTCCTGAGTTCATATCCCAGCTGGGCCAGGGCCTTTCTGTATGAAGATGGTATGTTCTACCTGGGATAACACAGACTGTGAAAGGGGAGGAGAATGCCAACTGAAATATTTTTTTTTGTACTAAAAAGACTGAAACTTTGGAAGATTTGACACTTGAGAGACTGCTGGCGCTTCAAATGTTGGAATGTATTTTAACACAGATGAGGCCTGTGGATTTTGTCCCCCATCTTCTAAATGACTCAACTTCTAATGAAATTGATTTGGGAATTGATCTCTTCAGGGCCAGTATGAGAAGGAGGAATGCTTACAAAAAGAAAAATCAGTTTCAAGGTCCGTACTGTTTTAAGACAGACTTTTCAAACCCTACATCTTGACCTCAGGTGTCAAGGTGATAATGAGCAAAGCTGAACATATGAGAATCCTAATGATAACCACTATGCAAGAATAGTAGCAGGCAAAACCATTGCTCATCTGTGTGTCAGTAGATTTGACAGAATGCCAGTATGCCAGTCCACAGATATTCAATAGCTGGTGTGTTTACCTGAGAGTATTCCACTGGGTAAAGGCAAGAGTGCTGACGCAGCATGGAGAATAAGTGGTGAACAAACAAAAATTTGATAAAATACACACATCAAAGGAAGAGTGGATGGTTGGCTGGATGAATGGAGAAAGGAAGAAAGCAGTAGGATGAATCAAAGCCAAGATGACTAGTAAAGCTCATCCACATCTGATGCATGTTTCCTTGTGTGCATTTTATCACAGAAAAACGTCCATACGGCACATACAGAGCTGAAAGTATAGCACGGTTAGCTTTGGGCAGCTGTCCAAGCCTTATTGTTGAGCCCTGCAGGTAGACCTATTGTATAAAATACGTTTCTGTCCGCTAAACTGTTTAGGGAAAGAATATATTTCTCAAAATCATTGATAAAAGATGACATAGCATGATATGATAATTAATATTTATTTTGACAATGAAATATATTCTGTATTAATATTACTATTAGCCTCATTAAAAGTAGGATAGTGATAAAAGCCTGGATGCAGTGATGGCAATGGATTAGTGAGGGACCTAACATTAGAGGTTAAATGAGGAGGTGTGTTGGCTGCTGACAAATGAGAGCTTTGTCACAGATCCATTCATCAGAGAGTAAATATTAACAGTCAAAGTGAAATTAAACTCAAAGCTGCACCTTGTAACATTTGCAAGTTGCTATTGTTGTAACTGCATTATGTTTTGGTTAAATGAGATGCAAAGCTGTACGTAAAGATATGCTGGTACAAATGTGTCACTCTGATGCTTAAAATTAAACAGTTTTTATGTAATCTTCCATTCATTTTGTATGCAGCTTTGAAAATAAGGTTAAAGTAAAAGTGCTTTACACTTTTGGGGTTTTTCAATACATACCTGCTGGCTTGGTTCGACTTGGTTTGACTTGGTTTGACTCATGGCCAACATGGCAGGGATTGCATCTCCATTAAAACAGGGCTACACGCTTGAATAAAAGCTGCCAACTAAGCTCCACTCCGTTGTTGAACACATTTAACTTCCTATAAATTATTTACATTAAAGTCTCAAATTATTTTGTTATTTAAATGTTTTATTATGAAGCAGCAAAATCACGAAGTATTGGGTTTTCATCACGACTCCTCTACAGCTGAACAAGAAACAGTAAAATAAAGTAGGAGAGAAACTAAATTTCCACAGAGATTCACTTAGAAGCTACAAACGTCTGTCTGTCTGGCTGTCTGCTCGTCTACAGACAGGGGCTAAGTCTCGGAACACACGCATGTTTTTTTAAGGGGGAGAAGGTGATCGTCACAGGTTAGCAGCATTTGGCAAAATATCACCGCAGCCCACTAGGAGCCAGGTTTGGCCCGCTTTAGCCCTTCACTGGAGAAGGTCCATCTTCGGCGGGATTCGGCACAGCACTGCGCGTTTAAAGTGGTAATTGTAATGCTATGCTAATCACCGCAGCATGGTTTGACACGGCCAAAAGTGCTACTGGAAAAGCCCTACTTTTGTAGGTGCTGCCAGTGAGTCCTTGTTACCTCTGCAACTGGGCTATCTCCTGACTGATGTCATCCAACTCCTTGATGCCAGTGAACTCCCCTGAACCCACTGAACTAGAGCTGTCCTGTAGAGAGAAAGAGAGAAAGAGAAAGAGAAAGAGAGAGAGAGAGAGAGAGAGAGACAGCTAAGTAAACTTCATGTGTTGATCATTTGTTGGATGATGAAATAATGACCAGGCCAAAGGAAGGAGGAAGAGGAAAAGAGAGGATAGGAGAGAAACCAGTGCTCAATAAGAGGAGCAGCACAGAGGTTGAATCAGTAGGTGGGGGGTGGGTCAATCAGCAATATGTGGTCACCACTACTGACAAACTGCCAAGGAGATGAATGATTCAAGATTTTAAACATTGAGAAAGTTTTCATTAAGGTGGTTTTTAATTAATTTTACAGTATTGTGTCCACCAGCATTTGTTGGTAACACTAGCCAAAGAGTGTGGACAGCTGTTCTTTTATCAGACAAGAGTACTGGTTACACTTAACCTATTTATACCAGAGCCACAGACAACTGCTATCATAAGACTGCAGGTGCTTTATCAAAAATACTAAAAGAATCCTGATTGCCACCTAAAAGTGATCTTGAATCTTCCCTCGATCACCAAACAGTTGACAGGGTGAGACAATGTCACTGCACTGTATTGGAATGGAGAGAAAAGTCTTGCAAATGCTATCCAGTTATCAGCCTGTACAGCCGACCACTGGAAGCATCCATATGTTAATACACTGTAGGTCCATGTTACCTACCCACAACTTGAACATTATAGCCTGAGAGAGGAGGAAGGACAGGTAGAAACATCAGCAGTGAAACAGTTAGGACAACAGTGGGCACTAAATGTCTTTGATCTACATGATTTCCCTCTCCTCAAATTTGCCATTTTTATCTCTATGTGGGTCACAGTTTTAAGTTCTCTTTTTTAGAGAATTAAGCAGATTTGGCAGAAATTCAGGAAACAGGATCTATAGCAGAGCGGAGGAGAGAAGAGAAGTGTTCACTCACCCGTCTCATCTCAGAGAGAGCAGCCATCTCTGATCCCACGGGGGTCATGTATCCTGACATACTCTGCAGCCACAGAGACAATGACTTAAGTTTCTGACAATAATGATAGAAAACTCCATCCCATGTCAAAAGGACCGCTTTCGAAAAACATCAGTAGCTCCTTGTTCTTTGTATGTGGTATCTAATATCAGTATTATGCCATGCTTTACAATAATACCAGCTAATAGAGATATAAAATATATATATCAGGCCCAATAAATTGTCGGTGGATAGTGGGAAACTTATATTAGTTATCATTCCGATAATGAAATTATAGCCGATAAATTATTGGTTGATAATAATTTATTTTGACCTACTGGTACAGGAGTGCCTCTCTCAGAGGGGGGGATCATGTCAGCAGTCAGGGCCTGTGGAGGGTCAATGCCCTTACTGACTTTCTGCTGGATGAGATGCATGGCAAGGGCAAACTGCTCCCTGGTCAGCTTACCTATCTGTCTTGTGTCTGCCAGGGCCCTGCAGGGAAGAGCAGACACCAGAGAAACAATTATTCCGAGCAGACTGAGCACACTGTTGAGCAGAACAACAGAAATAAAAATAAAAAGAAGAATGAACTGCTGAATCAGGAAGGGTTCCCACTCTCAGGAAATCAAGTGAAAAAAGTCTACTTGAATGAAAATCCAGTATAAGAACAAACAAATCCGATAATTCACAGGTTCAAAGTCAACTTTAGTTGTAACTTTAATTTCCCCCTGGGATTATTAAAGTATTTCTGATTCTGATTCTGATTGAGCACTTTCTGTTGGTCTGGGTTCCTATTGTATTTCACTGCTTTGCTCCCAGCAACACCCCTAAAAACTTTGTTAATAAAAACAAAAACACAAAACCTGACAAACACTGTTCTCCTGAGTGACAGAAGAAAACAATATGGGTTCTATAATGCCCACAAGTCAACATGTACTTATTAATATTGTACTGTAATTCTGACGTGTTGAGAACTGTCAGGAAGCAGGGAATCTAGCCATTTTGGTTAAAAAAATGTGGTCTAGCCTCTGTTATTTGATGAACTGCCTCTGTACTGCTAACACGTTTCCATTAATAACTTGATAGTTGTGTTTAAGATTAGGGCTAATATGGTAAAAACAATTTGGTTATATTGACAGATAATGTGATATTGCGATATGATTCAAGATTAGTGAAAATTATAATTTTTGCATCACAATTAAAATGTACAATGAAAAAACATTAAAATGATAATGTAACATTGGTTGGGGTCTGTAAAAAAAAAAATTACTTTTACCAAAAAAATACCAGCTTCTGTGATTTTGATATTGCACTTGACCATATTGCTATTTCAATAATATTTAGATTAATTCTGCAGCTCTACTCGTGCTGTCAAAAGATATGACAGTGGCAGAAAAAAATGTTTTTGGTGCACAGGTAATTGATTCCAGTGGCCTAACTACGCAATTAAGGACTACATAGTTCACAGTCTCAATAATGTTTTAAGCAATTATTTTCTGACATGTATAATGTGTTTAGAGAGAAATCACTGAATTTCCTTTGGATGAATTTTGATTATTTCATTAAAGATGCGTTTTCCTGATACGTCTTTATACAATTCTCTCTCTGTATTATGTGTTTTTTTAATTTTAACAATCATACATATTTTTTTTTTTACAAATTCATTGTGTCTGCTGGCCATAGTTGCTTTAGCTCTGCGTACTTTTCTAATGCAGGATGAGGCTGTTTAACAGAGAGTGAAGGCTCTGTGAATATACCTTGTGTTCAGGTCTTCAAAATTTAGATTTAAAAAAAATAATCTAATCTAAAATAACAATTTCCTTTTTGTTTTCTTAGTCTCCTTAAAAAAAACCCTGCAAAGCTTGGGAACCACTGGTCTAAAGTTCATCTATTACTGGGGTCCTTGAGAGTCTGTAAACCCCAATATAAATCTATATATATGAGTATCTGCAGGAGACTGGCAGTCTGCCCGATAACAAGTACACTGACAGCAGTTGAAGCCATTAAATAAGAGAGTTAAATGTCACTTTGAATTATTCTTCCAGCTGTGGTCAGTGCGCTGGAGGGGAAGGACTGCAGAGAGGTGATGAAGTCGATAGCAGAGAGCAGCACCATCCCACAGGAGCGGCTCAGTCACATCGTAGCTGGGATGTACAGAGTCCTGTCTGAGGCCATCCGCATCCCCACATCGTCACTTAAACAGGAGGTCAGCGGGAGTTAAACACTGGAAATTATATGTTGGAATATAATCGAGTCTTTGTCAGTGACTTCATACATATTTTGAGATTTTCCACAACAGACTTCTTCTCTTTGTGAAGTTTAATTGACAGTTTGATTGACGTCTGTTGGTACATAATGGTGTAACTTCCTGTTAGTTCATAAACAGTATATCATAACAATAAGTAACACAGTACTGTGGGCAGTGCAGCTACTGTTGCTTCCTCTTTATGAATATGGAATTACACATTTTAAACATTTTAAATCTACAATAAAAAGCTACTTTGATTTGTGTCCCTGTTTAGGCCTTTAAAGAAGATCTTAGAGAATTGAGGTAAGGATCTTCACTGCATCACATCCTCAGTGTGTTGATTAACACTCCTGCTTTTAGACAGTTTAAACCTCAAATGATGAGTTTGTTGTTTCTGTTATGTTTTCATCAATTAGGGTACCTGAGGACTTTATCACAGATTTCTCCAGTGTGGTTTTCGGCAATCGGTATGTTGAATCTACTCTAAATTTACATTTAGTTTCTGTTTTTATGTCCACTCATGTAGCCACAGAGCTCTCTTCACCATGAATAATAATGAACAGAACATCAGTTTTTCATATTGTAACCTAAATTTGTTTAGTCACTGTTGTGGCTGCCGTGGATTTCATTAAGATGCAGTTCATGGAGGCATTATCATTGCTGCGTCACACCTCTCTTTGTATTTGCAGCCGTGCAGCTCTAGAGGCAGCAACCTCCCGCAATGATCCTCACCTCCCCACAGTAGAGGACTTTAAATGGAGAGTGGATGTTGCCATTTCTACAAGGTAATGAAGATGTGTTTTTGTTTTTTTAACCTAACACCAGATGACTGAAGCTGAAAAAATCGTTTACAGAATGTAACATGTTTGTTTGTAATAAATACAAGAAGAAAAGGGTCGTTGGGCTGCACATCAAGTCAATCAGTAGAAAAAGACGTAGTGGTATTTTACATTAGACATTAAAGAAATGTAACTCCATATTTAGTGTAATGACGTCCATGTTGTTCTGTGTCTCCTCTGTTCCCGCAGCTCTTTAGCCAGAGCCCTGCAGCCTTCTGTTCTGATGCAGATGAAACTGTCAGATGGGAGCTTTCACCGCTTTGAGGTACTTAAATATATGACTTGTTCCTGATTGTACAGGCAGTTTTACATTCTCCTCTAAATAACCTGTTTACATATAGAGTATATGTCTAATTGTTTTACACCAGTATACATATCTATATAATATAGACTGAAGAAAGACCTGAGGAAGGACAGCGTTTAGTCGACGGTGGTTTCGTGCCCTCTCCTTATCTAGATACCATTGTTGGGCAATACTTGTACAATATATCTAAATATCAGCTACAGTGCATTCAGGTTTTTCAGATGTTTGTGTTTAAATTGGTCTTAGGTAGACTTTTAGACTATAAAGGTTTTGGTTTTGATGTGAAAGGTTTGTCCTGTGGATAATGTTAGTTCTCCACTATAGTGTGTAGGCCCAGTTTTATCTTCAGCCTGTGTGTAGAAAGAAGTTGGTCGTTCGCCAGTGGGCTAATGTTGGTCTGTTTCAGCTGTTACATAATAGGATCACAGTGGAATAATTGAGGTAACTACAGCCCAACCTAGAACCTGTACCACGTGCTTCTGATACATGGTGACAGTGTTGTTTATCACAGTATCTGCGACGTTTGTTACACAGTAAACAATAATGGCTAGCATTATAGAATTGATTGGCAAATGAGTCTTTTTCTAGTAGAATATAGGATTCTTATTTATCAGTCTTATTTATTAATTAATTTATATTTATCTCAACTATTTATTGACTTTTTTATTGACAACTTATTCATACATTTTTATTTAGTTTTTTTTAAAAGTAGCATAAAGGGAACTATATCTAAGTTTCATTCTACAACCTTGTGTTGTAAATTACAATAAAATAACCTTGAATTATTATTATTATTATTATTATTATTATTATTATTATTATTATAAATTTGCCTCAGTATCTGACTGTGTGTCTTTGTCTGTTCATACAAACCTATTAGTTCATATTAAAAGACCCAATCATCACTTCACAAATAAGCAATTATAGGAATTAATGGCAATTAGTGCTGAATTATTCAAAAAGAAACTCTACAGCAAAATGAATCAAATCCTCAGCAAGTTAGTAAAATGCTTCCCTCAACAGGGGGCGCCACACTCCACACCTGCTCTATAACGGCAGGATAGATGCTGCTTTCTAAAGTAGGTTACTAATGTGGACAGACGCAGGAGGGAGGACTTCCACTACTGCTGCCGTCGTACCGAGTGCACAGGTTATGTAATCAGATTACAGCAGAATTAGAAGATTAGTAGAAACAACATCAGGTGGTCAAATTCTATTGATGGATGCACCTTATCTCCACCTGATATGTGCTCCTCAGGATCTGTTCCAGAAGACGTGGCTGCACTTTTTAATTAGCCGATGTGTCTTTTTTTTTTTTTAGTACAGTTACACGGCTGTCTGCTGGTTAACTCGCAGTCTGCTTGAGCCTTAAGCACGAAAATTAAAGTAGCCATAAATAAAACCCCGATACATGCGTGTTAGGTTAGAATACATTGTTTTAGGAGTAGCCAAACTTCACCCTGTAGGGAGGTCAGAGGTCAAACTCTGGCATGAATCATTCAGTGTGAAGTTCAAGTCTTTTCAGACGTTAATGAAAAACTCTTTTCAGTGACCATTTTTAAACACTGCACACCCAGAAGACAGGTGTGTAGGAAAATGAAATCATGGAAAAGAAAGTTGGAATTCCTGCAACAGTCAGCACTTAGTTTAGTGAAAGTGCTGACTGTGAGCAGGAAGTATGCACAATAACAATTAACAATATAATCTCTCAGCCATTACTTCCAAACATCCCAGTGAAGGCCAGCGTCCTGTTGCTGTGCTATTTTAAATGTCATCATGGTAACATAATGCTGTATCACATTTTAGCTCTACCTTGGCTGTGCAGTTGTGTTCATACTGGACACCTCACCATTGTCTGTGAATTGTTGTTTTCTGGTTCAGGTCCCCGTGTCTAAATTCCAGGAGCTCCGATACAACGTGGCTCTGATCCTCAAAGAGATGAACGATCTGGAGAAGAGGAGCATTCTCCAGATTCAAGATTGATGTACCATGCAGGGCTGTTATGTGATTTAAACTCTCCTGTATTCTTAGTCTTTGAGATTTAGTGACCGAACGCCGCTCATTTAAATAATTTCAACTATGATATTATGAAAGATGATAATCTGCCTGTCATGATGTTGATGATTTGATTGTGTTGGCATCCAACATACTTGACTATTGACAGAGTGCAACATGATAATACCTAATGACCACACTGAAGACAGTTTACTGTGTCACAGTTTATATTTAAAAACAATATATATATATATATATAAAATCCAACTATCACCCATTTATCTTGCTGTGTTGTAAACTGCACATATTAGCATTATTCACCTTGGTGGGTCGTTGAGAGATTTTGAGACGGATGCATAGCTTCCATTGTGCCAAAATACAAATGCGGTCAAGTGAGCACTCAGACACTCTCTGGCTAAGTGACCACTTTAACTGGGGTCATGTGATCTGGTGTGTTTGAGGCTGAACATCTTGTTCACATGCGTCAGAAACACGAGGAAGAACAAGGTCATTTTTTGTATTTGTACATACAAGGTCGTGTTTTTATACACGTCATTCAAACCAGTGACATAAGATTTAGTTGTCATTTGTGTTGTAGCGCTATTGTATAACAAATTTTATTTTATTTTGTATGTGTTTTCCATATTAACATCAAGATTTTTACCTCTTGAACCACATTTCTCTAATAAAATCTGTCCATTCTTGTGTTTGCAAAGAATAAATGATTTAAGACACTGTCAGCAGGTAACAATTCATATGCCAGTTTTTAAAGGTGTAACACTTTTCAATTGAGTTGACACATAAACAGCTAGCCTCAACAGAAGTGACAAATAGCTGAGGAAAGATCTTCAGTCGCACAAGGATTGAAGGTTTATACAATTTATTGTGTAAGTAAATGAAACAGAAAGCTAAACCACACCAAAGGGTTAATTTACCACTGACATTGTTTTGTAACAGCTGCCCCAAATAACTCTTTAATCTTTGATTCCTGTCCTGAAAAACACATCTTAACACTGGAAGAACTGCTCTGGAATCAACAAAATCCCCCATTTAAAATTCACTTTTCTTAATATATATATAGACTGAACATAAGGTTGGTCAACTGTCAGCGGCAATGATCCTAGGGATGGCAACACTGATCTGCTGGTCAATCCACCATTTTGGTCCTTACTAAAATATTTCAACAACGTTTGGATGGATTGCCATGAAACAAAGCGTGTGCAGACATCCATGACCCCCAGAGGGTGAATCCTAATGGTTTTGCTGATCCCTGAAATGTTCCTCAAGCACCACCATGAGGTTGAATCCTAATGGTTTTGCTGATCCCTGAAATGTTCCTCAAGCACCACCATGAGGTTGACATTTGTGGTTTGGGGTGAAATGTCTCAGAACCTATTGCGTGGTTTGTCCTGAAATTTGGTTACGCATATTCAGCTTCCCTTCTGGATGAATTGTAATAAATTTGGTAATCACATGACTTTTCATTTAGTGCGATCCAAGGGTAGAAATTGGAATTTGTCCACTAATTTGGTTGATTATCAAATATCTGCAAAACTAGTGACATTCCCATCAGCCTCGGCTGTCATTACCAGCAATTAGTAAATGTTAGCATGCTAATATGCTACAGTGATCATGATAAAGATTATGCCAGCATCAGCATGTTAGCATCATGGATATGGTTTTACAGGCTTCGTCCTAAATCACTCCCTACTCACTAAAAAGTTTACTTTATTTACTGCCCCTCATTCTCAATTGATTCCTCACTCTTGAGTAAACTGCTGAGTGTGGGGAGAAATAAATGAGGGACAGATTTTGGAAACATGTCTTGTTATGATGTTCATGGTTCTGCTTCATCCTATTTAATATTAGGAATCCTATTGTATTGATATTTATAAGACCACTGATGTCCATTTAATGAGGCCACACCCCATGAATTATGGGACTTGAGTTTCCTCAGAGTTTGGATGCTTATTTAGGGGCTCAACTCAGAGAAAATTCTGAAACAAAAATATTGTGCTGTGTTAATTAATAAAAAACCTATAAAAATAAGTATGAGATAAACACGAGTAATTTAATGATCAATCACTATTTTATTAGCCTTTCAAATCTGTAACTGATTTGGTTAAACCCTTAGGAGAAAACACAGTAATTGACTTTATATAGATGTGAAAGCTGCCAAAACTTTGATCTTTAATGGTAACATAATTCATCACTCTAATAAGGCCCTTACTATCAACGTCCAACCTTCAATAATTACCATCTAATGGGATTTCAATACAAATAAAAGGCTACATTTTACACAAAACATCTGCTCTTTATTCTAATAAGTAATAGATCTAATCCTGTCTAGCTCGACCACAAAGAGAGACCAACATAAATCAGATTTTACTTTTTTTTTTTACAACCATAAAAAAAATGTTCATACAAGTTTTCGGCACACACAGTAGCCTCAAACTCAGAATTCAAGTTTCAAATCTAATTTAAGACCTTTGTCACATGTTTGATTCTTTCATGCCTTTCATTCTTGTTTGTTTATGCATTTTTTGGGCAATGCCCTGAAATATGAGGTTTTCACAGTGAAATGAGACACCGCCAGCATCTCAGACAAGCACAAGCGCGGGCCTGTTATCCGTTACATGAATATCCATCTTTCTTTCCAGCCAAATAAGACCTTGTATAATGGTCTGTGAGGTGACTTTGAGGACAACTGCTGGATCCAAACCCAGTATACAATGTCCAGACAGCCTGTGCTAGAAGATCTGGCTAGACTGCATTGGTGGCCTATTTAGATACACATAACAACATTTCAAGGTATGAAGGGACACAAGGATCTCTAACTATTATGTATGTGTGTGTATGTTTGTGTGTGTGATCAGCGTGTGTCTGTGTGCTTGCGTAACGTGCTTGCGAGTGCCCTCATTTGCATATATGTCAGTCTGTCTGTTCCTACATGTGTGTCAGTCTGTCTGTGTCTGCTGCAGCCTATACTGTATGTCTCCCAGAGTTTTAGTCTGTGTGTGGGATTGAGTTCACAGGCTAGACCGGCCGACCTATATTACCAGCAGCACCACTACTACTGACATGGACACTGATCGACTCACTAATCTCCACGCGCACACACAGCAAACCCTTTCAGCAGACAGGTTTTATTTTGAGGCTGCAGGAAATACTACTTTGGGTAATTCTAATAATACCGTGTAGTATCAGGGCTATTTTATCCAATCCCTTAACCAGTCATTAAACTCTGACCGTAACCTACTTCTTTTGCTTCTTGTAGCCTTTTAGCGAGCCTAAAGAACAATAATAGGAAAATGCTCAAATGTAGCGTAATGGTACTACAAGTAGAGACTTGTTTAAAGTTTGCTAACATTAGCTACAGGTCATACAAGACCAAGTAAGTCTGTAGCACTGTGTGTACTGTACTGTGAAAGGGTGTGTTTTATTGTGAATGAATTCTTTCTTGATTTGCAAGACAACAAATGTGTCATTCATCCTTTAAAAGTTGCATAGTCTTCCTTAAAGGTCCAGGATTTAGTGGCATCTAGTGATGGAGTTACAGATTACAACCCCCTCGCGTTGATCCCTTTCCAAGTGTGTAAAAGAAACTACGGTGGCTGCGAAACTCGTGAAACTGTAGAGACGACTGTAGAAACATGGCCGTTAAACATGGCAGACTCAATGGAACAGGACCTGCTTCCTCTGTAGATAAAAACAGCTCATTCTAAAGTAACGAAAACACAATAATTCTTCTTTTCAGGTGATTATACACGAATCAAAACATACTGAAGATGTGTTATGTTTTATATCTGTCATATGACCAATGATTAGGGTCACGCTAACAGATTTACAGCCGGAGACGTCAAACAGCTGATGGATAACCTTGGAGGTAGATACCACGAGGACCGAGGAGGCAAGACGTCATTGGCTGATGAGAAGAAGACAAACCCTTACTAATGACGTTTCTCACTGATCGACTATAACACACTGGGCCAGGAAGAGATGGTGTATTCAGACTTCGTGAACTGACACACACTTTGTTGCTTGTCAGGGATTGCTAGAGTTTGGACCAGAGGCTCTGTAAAGCTTTGCACATTCTACTCGTGTTAAGAATAAAGCTGATTTTTGAGTAAACTAAATCCTTACCTATCGCTTCATTAAAGAACACCGAGGAT